CCGGGACAGCGGTGCGGTGCCGAGGGCCGGGCTGGGGACCGGCGGGGCGGTGCCGGGGGCCGGGACAGCGGTGCGGTGCCGAGGGCCGGGCTGGGGACCGGCGGTGCAGTGCCGGGGGCCGGGGGTGCTCGGCCGGAGGCCCGGGGGCCGGGCCGGGGACCGGCAGTGCTGGGCGGGCCGGGCGTGCTTGGCCGGGGGCCCGGGGGCCGGCAGTGCTGGGCGGGCCGGGGATGCTCGGCCGGGCCCGGGGCCGGCACCCCAGGGCCCGAGCCGACCCAGGCTGGAAACGACGGGGGGGCCAGCCTGGGCTGCGCCTCCTCCCTCCACACCCCCCTTTACCTGCTTCAGGCTTCCCGCGAATCAAATGTTCGCGGGAAGCAGGGGAGGGGGCGGAGACTTTGGGGAAGGGGCGGAGTTGGGGCGGGGCATGGGCGGGGCGGGGCCCCGTGGAGTGTCCTCCTTTTGGAGGCACAAAATATGGTAACCCTAACTGAGGTGCCATGACCACTTGGGTTATGCCAAGGAAAAAATAGGCCCAGTGTGTTTGTAGGAAATTATGTTTATATTTAGTATACTGTAGGGGAAAGTTTACAATTTAAAAAATCTGTTTTCCTTGATATCTTATATATCTAATTTGAGTGAAAGCAAGTTGCATTTAAATTTGAAAAAATCCCTTACAATACTGAATTTAAACACAACAGCCTCATGCTGTTAACTGAAATCGTTTGGCTCCTTTTCACTGTGCAAGGTGAATGAAATGCAAAAAGTAAACAGACAACCTAGATCTTGAAAAGTAAATTAGATTTTAATACCATGACCCACAGAGTGGGTTTTATTCCTTTTTCAAGAGTCTTGTGACACTTTCTGAGTGTTAACGTGTTTTTTCCTCAGATTTTGTCTGTGTATGAATCCACAAGATGTGGATTGTCAGACTTAGCCGGTCAGCCATAGCAGACAGAGCCAGACAGCCACGGAAAAAAAACACAGAAATTGGGCTCGTTTTTGGCTTCATTGGCTTATGAGTTGCTTGTTGGCTAGTTTGGGGCTTGTAGCTCGTTGCGTGAAAGTTGGCAACTGTGATCCATAGTGCTGACTTTTGAATGAAACCAACCACATGTGGTTCTGGGGTTTAGGCCGGGTGCTCAGATAGGGGTACATTGTTGCCCTCCCTGGCTCCACCTGTCATGAGGGTTTCTGTGCTGGGAAGACTGGATGAGTATGGAACACAGACCCAAGGGAGGAGGAAGAGGGTGAACTTTCCCTCCCTGACCCAGTTTACCAGAGCCCGGAGAAATACTGCTGAGTACACTCAATTACCATTGAAGTCAATAAGAGTTGAGTGTGCTCAGCACTTTGTTCAGTTTGAATGCATACATGAACCAGTATATGTTTGTCTGCAATAACACATGATGGGATGCTTTCACTCCAGTGAGAAAGAACTCTGATTAATACAATTCATTTAAGATTCTTCCTGTCCGGTCCAGGTAACTATATATGTTTTATGCATAATTGTTATTTTTAAAATGTCAGATATTTCATTTAAAAAGGAGATAAAAAGCCCGCTTTCAGTTTGAATAATCTGTTATTTAAAAAATGCCAATTTTTGTAAATAAATTATTTCCATCAGGAGTGCCAGTTTTAAATTACACCTTCTTCTGGCTTTTTGGCATGTCTATTGCACCCACTTATTCATTGTGGGCCTGATTCTCATTTACACTAAAACTCATTTATAATGTTCTGGCAGTATAAATGGGCCTTGGACTGGGCTTAACTGTAATTGATGTTTTTGTGTAAATGAAAATCAGGCCACCCGTATATTCACCTACACAATGATAAGTGGATGAAGGGAGATCTATGAGAGACTAATGAATAGATTCCATTACAAGTTAAATAACTTCACACATCACTTCTGAATGTACTCCTAAGAGTACAGCAGATGAAAATGAGAGGGGTAAAAATAGGATAAAGATTTTTAAATATCTTTTCTCTTCGTAATAAAAATACAGCTGTATATTATATTTTGATGGATACTATTATTCAAAGAAATGTAGGAACTACAAATGGCCCGGTTGTAACTTCCCCAAATGGCCTTACTGCTTGTTCCTACCTCCAATCATCCTTTGAGAGGTTAGACAAAATGTTCATCTCCTCGTCATCTTGCAAAAGGCGATAGGCTGCACTGACATGGTGATTTTCGAGCACAGATCGGTCATTGTACAGAATGGCTGAATCTGACCTAGAATTTAAAAGAATGTAGAAAAAGTTATGTTTCTTTCCATAATGTGTCAGTCTCGCATTCAGAAATATTACTATGATTCACAATTACAGACTATATATTGGTATTTTTATAGTAAGTGTAATGCTGTATTCATTGCTATGTAGCTGGGAAAAACATTAAAATGAATGGTTGAAATTCACCTCAGGGGAAAAGCCTTGCACAAAACCACATTCACACTTAAGATCCACCCAAATACTGTGTTAAAGATTTAAAAGGAGTGCTGAGAGACATTTGGCTGCTAAATACTACATAAATATCAGTCATTGGGTGAAACGATGAGGCTTTTGCTTGATTCTTACTAAGGTAAAACTCTTATTTTGTGTGAAAGTTAAGTGTTACTTAAAATTTTTAAACAAGGCATTTTAAGTTGTTAGTTCTCCTTTATTGGGGTAGGTAGCAGAGCAGTACCATGAGAGGAGTAGAACGGGAAGAAGGCAGAATTGAGACTTTTGAAAGTTCTGGCCCAAGTGAGGGGACATGGGGGCATCATTTGAGCTCCCCGCCTCAGGTGCCAAAATGTTGTGGGCCGGCCCTGAGCATGGCTGACCATTTATTTAGCAACTGGCAGGTTTATGAAATATGAGTTATTCATCCAAATTCTCTTCTAAGTGGCATCAGTGTAAATCTGAGGTTATTCTATTTGAAGTCAGTGGAGTTACTCCAACTTTATGCTGGTGTAACAGAGGATTTTGTCCCAGTGAATGGAAGATATTCATGATCACAAAATATAGTATATCTCAGTTTCTTGCACTTACAATTCTTTAACCTATTCTATATATTAAAAGAAAACACAAAACAAAAAAGAGTTCCAGAAGAGTCAGGTATAGACAAAATGAGCATTCTTCCCTCCTTTCCTTAAGTAATTTACAAAGGCCTCACCGTGTCTGAATGTGAAAGTTGTTGGTGGTTCCAGTGTGTTCATAGTCATGGACGGCAGCTGCGAAGATCATAGCAAAGATCTCCAGCTCTGTCAGCCAGTGCTGAAAAAGAGATTATAGAGCAATCAGATAAGCTGTCATTTTCTCATGCATTAAGGCTTTCATCTGTTAAAGCAAGCTCTCTCTTGCTGACAATACACACTGCACATCATTGACCTTTCCCTACAGCCTGTCAGCTGTTCCAAAGCAAACTTCTCCAGCTCCTACATGAAAGCTGAACCACTGTTTTTCCTCAAGGTGGATCTAAATAAATGAAACTCTGGCAAAATATTTTAAAATTTTTTTACACTTAAAAAGGCTGAAGCAAGGGGAGGAGAACATTTACTTTCTTTAAAAGAAATACGAGCAAAAAAAAATGCAAGCTCAAGAAAGGGAGCATGTGCAAAGATACACACAATATAAAATACACATGCAATCAGCTATTTTGCCTAGAATAGTGATGTTACAAGCCTAAAATACACTAGGATCTTGCTAATTCCCAATGACTAGGAGACCCTTTGTGAATTACTGAATTGTGTGTATTGACAAAAAGGCAAATACCTGCAATATTAAAGCAAGAATATAGCATCACAAAAATGTAATTCTAGTTGTTTACTTATAATTAATTGAAAAATATTCAGAAAGTCATGGGATAACATTTTCAAAAGCACCTAAATGATGTAGGATCTCAAGTCCCATTTTTTGAAGTGCTTAAATCAATTAATCATTCTGTGCCTCAGTCTCCCCACCTAACAACATGCACCTACCCTCCAGGAGTGCCATTAGGATTAAAGTAGTTAATGTTTGCATAATATACTGAAAACAAAACACTAGATATTGTCAATACTACTAATACAATTAGATGAATCTGCAGCTTGGAAGAAGGGATAACCCTAGATTTTGGGGGCCCTTCAAGTTGGGTGAGCCCTCAACCTCTGCATACTCACAGCACCCCCACCGCTGGCCATCTCCTGTGTGCCTGTAACACCACTCCCCCTCTGTGGTAATCCTGACCCTCCCACACTGGCAAGTTCTGCAGTCTCTACTGTCCTAAGCCTGGTGTACAAAGTCAGATTTCATCCTAAAAACAATAGGTCAGCAGTAAAATATTTTGCCCAGCTCTAAAAACCATCATCAGAACTGGCACCCTTATTCATAGAGATTAAGACTAGAAGGGACCACCTGATCATCTAGTCTGATCTTCTGTAGATCACCATCCAGCACCCGCACACTAAACCCAACAACCCAAATTAGAGCAAAGTATTACAACCAATGAGAGATTAGACTATGATGTGCCACAGGCAGAGACTAGAAGGGACCGAGATGCACCAGTGCCCAAGGCCACTGCAATGACAGGGAAATGATGAAATGAGATACACCCAGATAATCCTGGCAAGTGACCGGTACCCACACACTGCCGAAAAAGGCAAAAAAAAACTAGTGGTCACTGCAAATTTGACTGGGGGAAAAATTCCTTCCCAACCCCACATATGGTGATCAGTTAGATCCCAAGCATGTGAGAAGGAACCAGCCAGCCAAGCACTTGAGAGAGAAAATGCTTGGTTCCACCTCAGAGCCCTGGCCCTCCCCACTCAATGTCCCATCTCCAGCTGTGGCCATCCCTGATGCTTCACAGGAAGAACATTCAAAAAAAAGTCCTAGCATACATTTGGGGGAGAAAAAAATCCCTTCCTGACCCCTACAGGTGGCTGGCTGAAACCCTGAAGCATGAGCTTTAGGAAAATAAGACACAAACCAGAAGTGAGCCCCAGGGCTGCTGAGCCCTGCCCCCAAACATAACAAGTAATATCATCATACAGTTACACTCGTAAATGCGTCCAGCTTCCACTTAAAGCTAATCAAGTTGTTTGCCCCCACAACTACTGGACTGTTCCAGAACCGCATTCCTATGATGGTTAGAAAAATTCTAATTTCCAGTTTGAATTTGTTCATAGCCAGTTTATATCCATTAGTTCTTATGCCAATATTGTCCTTTTGCTTGAATAGCTCTTCAGTCTCTCTGGTATTTACAGAGAGCAATCATATCCCTTCTCAGCCTTCTTATCCAGTCTTCCAAGCTCTTCCAGTCTCCTCTCAGAAGATAGGCAGTCTGTTCCCCTGATCATCCCAGTAGTTCCTGTTGGCAGTTTTATTCAGATGGACAATGTGTGAACAGGCATGGAGACTAAACTACTCTCTTATCCCTACCTATGTTCCCTCCAGAATTAGAAGAGAGTTGGAGAACGTTGGTGGTGGTGAAGCTTTTGTTGTCTCTATGTTGTCTGTCCTGAGGATAAACTGCATTTACTATTGACAAGGAAGATTACTTCAGTCTTCAAGCAACATGGAGGATAGGTCCATCAATAGCTAGTAGCCAGGATGGGCAGGAATAGCGTCCCTAGCCTCTGTTTGCCAGAAGCTGGGAATGGACAACAGAGGATGGATCACTTGATGATTACCTGTTCTGTTCACTCCTTCTTAAGCACCTGGCATTGGCTACTGTCAGAAGACAGGATATTGGGCTAGATGGACCCTCAGTCTGACCCAGTATGGCCGGTATTATGTTCTTAACATAATTCTGATAACGTTAAATTACATCAGGGATGGCCAGACTGCTGGTTCTCTAGGAAGTAGCATACAATAGACCCACGCTTCAATTCTCCAGACCTGGTCTTTCATTTCCCAAATGGAGGCAGATTGCTCAGCTCCTGGAGTTCCTTCTCTCAGCTGTTACTACTCTGATGTAGCTGGAGAGTCATTAAGCAGGCTTGAAGTCCCATCAGGCCCTCCATAGTCAAACAAGGTCAGCACAATGCAGGGTCTTGAAATGGGGAGGAAGGCTACTGAGGACAGGAGTAAAATGCCGTTTATTGAGAACGCCCACAGAAAACACAGCCTAGGGTTACTACAGAAAAACAGTGGATGACAAATAAAATTCAGTGTAAATAACGTATAGTTATAATAGCTCTGTCAATAAAGCGGAAAAAATGAAACCTTTAGTAAATGATCAAAAGTTTTCAGTCCCCACTTCAACTAGAACCATAAGAAAGAAAATAAAGAAGATGCCAGGCAGCCTGCATTTAACAGATGCAATCTCCATCCAAGTGGGGATATTACCTTTTACTAGGCTATGATGGACTTCATCTTGCAGAATGGGGCTAGCTTTAAAGAACAAAGCCATTAAGAATGATTGAGAAAGCAGCAGGGCTCTCCCATGGGGGGGGAAAGCAGGAACGGGGAGAGAGCAAGGAAATGTGAATGTTTTTCATTTCTGAAGGGGTGACAAAAATGATCCAGAACAAACTCTTCAAAGATGATGGAAAGAAAGAAATGAATCAAAGAATGAGCATTGAATCCCAAACTGGGAACAAAGAAAGGGAAATGAGGCATGGCTGTCACTCACAAAGGCATAATAAACATGAAGAATTAACTACTAAGAAGAGCCACTAGAGTCTAAACAAAAGATTCACTGTGTGCATAGGGAGTGAGAACAAGAAAGGACTAGATGAGCTTCCCAATGCGAAAGTGAGTGGAATGCATTGCCAGGAAACACAGGAAAATGACACAAAGAAGAGAGAGATGGAGATAATTAGCTTATTCCTTTTCTCAGGGTTTGTGTTCATTCATTCCAAAGAAGTTATCAGTTTCAGATCTCATATAATCATGATGATCTGCTTATTAACCATAAAAGCCAGCAGGTTTTTTTCCCCATTTGGTTCAAACACAAATGTCAGAGAAATCCTACGCTTCAGCAGTTTTACAGCTCTGCTCTATGAAATGTGCCATTATCAAGAATTACAAAAGTACAGAAAGCGCTCTCATCATTTACGGTTTGCATATAACTGTGTGATTGCACAAAGAGATCACACAGTAATTCCCAATAATTATCAAGATTAATCAGATAATATTCATAAAGGATAAAAAATAATTGAGTCACACTTGAACAACAGAGTTAATCAAAGAAAGGAAGAATGAGAGAAAAATAATGTTTTACAGATATCTCCTCAGTGCCACTCTTAAAAATGTTTCTAAGTTGTGTGCTTGAGTATTTATTCCCTGAAATATAAACATTAAAAAAATCCACTATTAACTTTGTACCTCAAAATTACGATAATACTGAAAATATTATACTGCCTTTATATATACTGATGGCAGCTCTTCACCTAGAATACTGTGTTCGTTTCTAGTCGCGCCACCTAATAAAGATATATAAAAGGTTTATAGAAGTGCAGGGAGAATGAGTAGAGCAGGGGGTCCCCAACGCAGTGCCCGCAGGCGCCATGGCGCCCGCCGGGGCGTCTAAGTGCACCCGCGTGCTGGCCAGCAGACGAGCATCCACCAAAATGCCGCAGAGCAGCGTCATCCAGAGGTGTCGCCGCCAAAACGCCACCGATTTTCGGCAGCGACGCCTCTGGATGACGCTGCTTGTCGGCAGCATTTCGGCGGCGACGCCTATTGACGTTGCCACTTGTCGGCGGCATTTCGGCAGATGTTCATCCGCCGCCACTGTCCTCCGTGGCTTGTCGTCTGGCACCCGCCAGATGAAAAAGGTTGGGAACCACTGGATTAGAGGTATGAAAAGATCTTGGTGTGAGGGGAGATGGAAGGTATTAGGACTACAGTTTAAAGAGAAAATAAATAACGGGGGACATGATGGAAGTCTATGAAATAATGACTGGGATAGGGAAGATGAATCAGGCTCCTTTTTACTCCCCCCCCCATAATATTAGGACAAGAGGTCACCAGATGAAACTAAAGGCTCACATTTAAAACTGATTATAATACTTTTTTACGCAATGAATAATACTTCCGTGGGATATTACTAAGGTCATGACCAGATTTTTAAAAGGTTTAGATACTAATGTGAACAACAAGTATATTCTCAGTGGAACTAAACAGAATAATGACATTAAGGGATGTAAACCCTCGTACCAACCACTAAGTGCCTGGGTTAAGCACAAGCTTCCACTACCGGTGCATTAAGCCGGTGCATAATTGCCTATTACAGAAATATGCAGAGTCCTCTCGGCAGCTGGAGCTGGCCACTCTCAAAGACCGGATTC